AGAATTAAACCAAGCCTGACAGCACCAAAAGAATCTGCTAATAATTTGCCTGCCTTCCAGAACAAACTTAACACCTTTTAAAGGAAGAAAACATAATCCAGACTCTGCAGTGTATCATTAACAATGTCCAATATACGATAAAAAAAGTAGTGGACATGTAAAGAGTCAGAAAATGTGGCCTATACTTAAGAACAAAAGCAAACAGTAGACCCTGAGATGACCCTAAAGTTGAAATTATTAGGCAAGTACTTTAAAGCAGCTATTATAAATAATGTTCAAGGACTTAAAGGAAAAAATGAATAGAATGAGCAAACAGATGGGGGATCTCAACAGAGGAATGGGAAAAAAAAATTTTTTTTAATTTACCAAATGGAAATTCTAGTACAAGAAATGAAAAATTCACTGGATGGAATGGATTAAAAGTAGATCATATATGGCAGAAAAAAAGGTTATGGATTTGGAGACAGATCAATAGAAACAATCTAATCTGAAAAACAGGAAAAAAAATTTGAAAAAAACTTAACAGAGCCTCAGTGACCTGTGGCATAATACCAGGAGTTCTAACATATATGTAATTGGAGTCCCAGAAAGTGCCTTCAAGAGTGAAGGGAAAATTTGTATATAAGAAAATTAGTTGCCAGGAGAACTGCTATACAAATGTTAAAGGAAGTTTTCTTCAGGCTGAATAAAAAATGGTATCAGGAAACTCAAATCTTCAGGAGGGAATGAAGAGCACTAGAAAGGATAAATATATGGATAAATACTTTTAAAAAACCCTTTCTCTTAATTTCTTACTATATGTATATATACACACACACACACACACACACACACACACATACACATACATATGTATGTTGTATATGTAGTATATACGATGACTATACTATAAAGAATGGGAGTGGAGGATGAAATTATACAGTTGCAAAGGTCTTATATTTTACATGAAGTGGTATAATATTTTAATCATATTGTAGAAAGTTAAGGGTATATATTATAATCTCTAGAAAAACTTCTAAAAAATAATGTAAAGAGGTATGGCTAAAAAGTCAATGGAAAAATTAAAATGGAATTCCAGAAAGTGTTTAGTTTATCCAAAAGAAGCCAGGAAAGGAGGACCAAAACGAAACCAAACCTGTTGCCACTGAGTCCGTTCTGACTCATAGCGACCCATAGGACAGAGTAGAACTGCCCCGTAGGGTTTCCAGGGAGCGTCTGGTGGATTCAAACTGCTGACCTTTTTGTTAGTAGTCATAGCTCTTAACCACTATGCTACCACAGTTTCCATAAACAAAAAATAGATGGGACAAACAGAAAACAAATAGCAAAATGGTAGACCAATAGCCAACTATAGCAATAATTATATTACGTGTAAATGAACGAAATACTCCAAATAAAAGATATTGTCAGACTGGAAGAAAAAGCAAGACTCAATCATTTACTGTCTACAGGAGACACTTTTTAAATTCAAAGATACAGATAAGTTGAAAGTAAAAGGACATATAATGGGCAGAAAAATGGCCCCTTCAAGGATATCCCCTCCCTAATCTCTGGAACCTGTAAATATGTTACCTTACATGGCAAAAGGGACTTCGCAGATGTGATTAAAGTTATAAACCTGAGATGGGGCAGTTAGATAATCTGGGTGGGTGGCCCAATCTAATCACATGAATCCTTAAAAATAGGGAAACTTTCTGGGGAAGCCAGCACAGCTTGTACAAGGCAAGGTCATGGAAGCTCCATAGACACAATCCAAACTCCCTGAGCGACCAAATTACTGGGCTGAGGGCTGGGGACACCGTGGTCTCAGGGAACATCTAGCTCAGTTGGCATAACACAGTTTATAAAGAAAATGTTCTACATTCTACCTTGGTGAGTAGCATCAGGGGTCTTAAAAGTCTGTGAGCAGCCATCTAAGATACTCCACTGGCCTCACCGCTTTGGGAGTAAGGGAGAATGAAGAAAACAAGATACAAGGGAAAGATTAGTCCAAAGGACTAATGGACGACAGCTACCACGGCCTCCACCAGACTGAGTCCAGTACAGCTAGATGGTGCCCGGCTACCACCACTGACTGCTCTGACTGGGATCACAACAGAGGGTCCCAGACAGAGCTGGAGAAAAATGTAGAACAAAGTTCTAACTCACAAAAAAAGATCAGACTTACTGGCCTGACAGAGACTGGAGAAACCTTGAGAGTATGGCCCCCAGACACCCTTTTAGCTCAGTAATCAAGTCACTCCCGAGGTTCACTGTTCAGCCAAAGGTTAGACAGCCCCATAAAGCAAAATGAGACTAATGGGGCACAACAATACAGAGACAAGGACTAGAAGGCAGGAGGGGACAGGAAAGCTGTTAATAGGGAACCCAAGGTCGAGAAGGGACAGTGTTGACATGTCATGGGGTTGTAAACCATTGTCATAAAACAATATGTGTACTGACTGTTTAATGAGAAACTATTTGTTCTGTAAACCTTCATCTAAAGTACAATTAAAAAAGAAAATAGAGAACCTTTCCTAGCTGTGGCCAAAAAGAGATGTGACAACAGAAGAGGGTCAGAGAGATCTACTTTGCTAGCTTTGAAGATGGAGGAAACGGGCCACAAGGCAAGGAATATGGGTGGCCTCTAGAAGGTGGAAAAGGTGAAGAAACCAATTCTCCCCAAAGCAAGGAAACAAGATTCTCCCCTAGTGCCTCCAGAAGGGAACGCAGGCCTGTTAACTCCTTGATTTTAGCCCAGGGAGACCCATGTTGGACTTCTGTTATTTTACAGAACTGTAAGGTAATAAATTTGTGTTGTTACAAGGCATTAAGTTTGTGATAATTTGTTACAGCAGCAATAGAAAACCAATATAGGATGGAATATGATACACCATGCAAACAGTTACATAAGAAAGCTTCAGTGCTACATGAATATCAGATGAAGTAGACTTCAAGACAAAGAGTGTTACCAGAGAGAAAGGGACATTTCATACTGATAAAAGGGTCAGTTCATCAAGAAGATACAGCAGCCATCAATATGTGTGCGCCTAACAAGAGCTTCAAAAATACACAAAATAAAAATGGATAGAATTAAAGAGAAATCCACAATCAGAGTTGAAGATTTTAAACACTGTTCTCTCAGCAATTGATAGGACAATTAAATAAAAAACAAAAAGCACAGTAAGGACATAGAAGATCTGAGCAGCACTATCAACCACCTGGGCTTAATTGACATTTTCAGAACGCTGCACCCAGTTGTGGGTACACATTCTTTCATTGTGCACCTGGTACATTCACCAAGCTAGACCATATGCTGTGCCATAAAACAAGTTTCAATACACTGAAAAGGATCGAAATCAAACGGGGAAAACAGAAGAAGAATCATTCTGAGTATGTTCTCGACCACAGCAGGATGAAGTTAGAAGCCAATAACTCTAAGAGATGTTGGAAAACACCAAATACTTGGAAATTAAACAAAACACTTGTAAACAGTCTATGGGTAAAAGAAGAAATCACAAGGGAAAATAGAAAATATTTTGAATTAAAAGAAAACGAAAACTACAATGTATCAAAATTTGTGATTTGCAGCTCAAACAGTGCTGTCATGGTTTGAATTATGTCCCCCCAAAAATGTGTGTATCAATTTGGCTAGGCCATGATTCCTGGCACTGTGTGATTTTCCTATATGTTGTAAAACTGCCTCTATGATGTTAATGAGGGAGGATGGGTGGCAGTTGTGTTAGTAAGGCAGGACCTGATCTACAAGACTGGATTGTGTCCTGAGGCAATCTCTTGAGATATAAAAGACACAAGTGAGCAGGGAGACAGGGAGACCTCATACTATCAAGAAAGCAGTGCCGGGAGCAGAGCGCGTCCTTTGGACCGGGGTCCCTGCGCAGAGAAGCTCCTAGTCCAGGGGAACACTGAAGAGAAGAAGGCCAACAGAGAGAAAAAGCCTTCCCCTGGAGCTGATGCCCTGAATTTGGACTTTTAGCCTACTTTGACTATGAGGAAATAAACTTCCCTTCATTAAAACCATCCACTTGTGGTATTTCTGTTATAGCAGCACTAGATGACTAAGACAAGTGCTTAAAGGGAAATGTGTACCTTTAAAAGCCTTTTGAAATGTGTTTTCATCGTTCAAAGCGCTCTCAGCTCTCCAGTTAGCACTGATCTTTGTCCTGGCCTCTGTGCAGCTATTTCTCGCTGTACCAACAGTAACATTTTAATGCATCTGTTTGCTAACATACCGCTTCTTCCTTCCTAAACTGTAAAAGCCCTTTAAGGACAAGCACTGCCAATCTTTTCAGTTTTTTGTCTCAAGTCTCTAGCTTGACTCAGTGGGTTCTCAGTAAATTTTGAATGAAATATTGAGATCTCTGCATGGGAACCCTGGGAAGAAGGCAGAGTAAGGATTACTGTCCCCAGTTTACAGCTGAGGAAATTGAAACCCCAGGTTCACTTAATGAACAAGTGACAAAGCCATGTTCCCAATGTTCCCCAAACATTTTCCTTTCAGGCCCCACGTGGCTGACTGAAGTATCACCAGTAGAAAGAGGTGTCTCTCCAATAGAAGTGTGCGTTTATACTGGAGTAAAATTCTAAGCCATTACTGTTATAAGGTGTTGACAAGTTGATTCTGACTCATGGCGACCACGTGCCGTTACCAGCTATTAGAACATCATCAGATAGTCTTGTTTTCTGGAGGGTTAGTGAAGACTCTTGCGAGTTCTTAGAGCTGTTCATAAAGGCCCTTAGCAAATAGTCTGTGCTGACCCTCCGCTTTCTGTAGCAGATGGAGCAGCCTAGGCCCAGACCATTTGAATGACCATGACTTAGGCAAGGTTGTATAGTGAGTTAGTGGTGGAGCCAGGACCACTACCTGGCTAGGACGCAGGAAGCAGGAAGCTGCCTAGAGCTTGAGGTTTCCAGCTACAGGGGTTTCAAGCCTGTGTGGTGGCACTCAGCCTCCTACGCTGCGGAGGACTCTGCACCGTTAGCTTCTTGTTTCTCTATTTTCTACCCAGGTTTCAGTTTTTACTTGGGTTTGTTTCCCCTTTGTCTCTGGTTCAGCTTCCTTTTCCTGTTTGGTTTTAAGTAGAGTCTAAAAATCCAGTTGCTGTCTTCAGAGGGTCTGTGGTCCTCTGAGCAGTACAGCCTGGTGGGAGTAAAGGACTTGGCTCCTCAGGGCACCTGTGCTAAAGCCTTTCCACCATGGCCACGGGGTGAGTACTGGGACCAGGAAAGGGACAGACGTATGTCAAGAGGAAGCCTAGAATCTTAATGATCTAGAGCGGAAGAGGCTGCAGAGCTCACCCAAACCCCCTTGTTATACTAATGGGGAAATCACGGGCCAAGACAAGGGACTTACCCAAGGTCACACAGCAAGTTAACAACCGGCTTGCTCTTCATTCACTGGTCTTCCCATTACACAGGACTGTGTCTTGATGCCTGTGATCTTTAATGGCTTCTGTGTCAAAAGTACTTACTCAGAAGCTAAGTGCCTGTCTCAGATTGTAGGGAGGCAGGTCTGAACATCTAAGGGGACTGTTTTCTGGCCTTGAGTGTGCTTAATGGGTCCTGGCTCTTCCTCCAGAATGGCCTGAAGCAGACTGTTTTCTCTGAATACTGGGGAAAGAGGGAAGAAGTGGGATTCCATTGCTAAATAGAAACTTCATGGATTATTAATAGCAAGAACCCTGATTTTCTGCTTGAGAGACTTGTGACCTCAGGCCATTGGTCACATAGCCAGTTGCTGCTTAGCGTGTCTGTAAACACCTGCAGGTCTAGAATCTGTACTTCTAATTTAAGTGTTCCTTCTAAAGGTGAGATTGCATTTTGGACGTGACTCTCCGCTGCCTCCGACCCCATGGAAGACTGTAGGTGATGGGATAGGGCATTATCCTCTGGGATTTTTGACACTTGTATGACTAACTCATGACAGCGTTGTGTCTTAGCTTGAAAGAAGAACCCCTCACCTTCAAAGCGACTTCACAATTTCCAGAGTGCTCTGTCACCTATTTTCCTTTTGAGTCTTTTAATAACCCTGCTGGGGAGATAGGGAGGGATTGTCACTCCTCTTGTGAATGAGGAAGCTCCTCTGGAAGGTTGTGGGACTTGCCCGGGTTCGTGTGTCTGGTTGAGGAAAAACTGGAACTGGAACCCACCCAGAATGACCTCACCAGCTGTCCTTCTAGAATACTGCACAGGAGTTATTCAAATTGACATGTCTGCCTTGAACACTGTGCTCGTTTAAGATCTACCTATATAGGATCCAAGTGACAGCAGCGACTCAAACGATTAGACAGGAACCTTAGGGGCAGTGAGTTTATGCTTAATGGAGAAGGAACACCTCAGAAAAGGAGGGTGAGAAGGGTTGCACAACTGGAAGAACATAGTCAGTGTCACTGAGTTATACATGTAGGAACGGTTGGATTGCTGTATGTTTTGCTGTGCATTTTCTCAACAACAAAATTAATTTTTTAAACAATGGATATCACAGTAAGTAGAACATGTCCAGTGTTCCTTCTGCTGGGGGCCTGCCCCTCACCTCCTAGTGCTGTCGCTACCGAGCTGCTGGAAACCCTTCCGCTAGGCCCCCAGGTCTCACTGGGCCATGGAAACACACGACTTTTTTTCCTATGGCTTTGTTCCTGCTCTTCCACATCCAGGTTCTGTCATTTTAGTAGTTTTCTTTTAGCTTTAAATGATTTGTGGGTGGAACTGTGGAAAACAAAATGCTTTCCATTTCAAAGGCATGTTAAGTTCCAACAGGGTAGGGACCCACTTTCAGTTGTAAATTACATGGTGAAAAGTTCAGGCAGCTGACTCTAGCCAGTCAGTTACTGACTGCACAAAAATAATATCAAAAGTGCACAGGGGAGGAAGCAAAGCAGTTTTTTAAAGGTCTTTTAAAATTATAGAAATCTTCGAAGTTTTCATCTTGAAAGGGCCTAGAGACGATCCACAGTAGATTATCCAGGTTAGCGATGCTTCGCCTCTTGCCCTCCACTTCAACCAAAATAACTCGGCTTTTATCTCTTTTATGTGTTCCTCAGTATTTCATTGAGGAAAAAAAGGTGTATTGTTGTTGATGATTTTGAAGTCCAACAACCGCTTATCTAGTCCAGCTCTGAGGTGCACTGATCAGGAAACCGAGGCCCAGTCAGGGCCTACAGTGAGCGAATTAGTGGCCGAGCCCAAAGGAAAGCTCAGGTTTTCTGATACCTCCCCTCCCTACAAGGCCGTTTGCACTTTGTCACTGGAGCCTGACATGGCACTGTGGTGACAGCACCACTGGGAGCCACATCGGTGGGGCCGCAAGGATAAACCAAAACCACACCAGTTGTCATCGAGTCGATTCCGACTCATGGTAACCCTAAAGGACAGAGTAGAACTTCCCCATAGAGTTTCCAAGGCTGAAATCTTTACGGAAACAGACTATGTCTTCCTCCCATGAAGCAGCTGGTGGGTTCAAACTGCCGACCTTTTGGTTAGCAACCAAGCGCTTAACCCCTGTGCCACCAGGGCTCGTAGAGCAGCCATAAAATCTGTAGACTTTATGTTTTTCCTCATGCTGATATATAGGGATGTAGCACGGAGATGCCTGAGGTACCGTGGTGCCTGTGTGGTGAGGATGCCAAGGGCCTTCACATCACGAAAACGGATCTTACCAGCCCCGGCTTGGGCGGTCCGGCCATCAGGAGACATTTTCTGAGCACTTACTGTGGACTGGAACTGGGAACCCCCTTGAGCACATGACAGTGTACAGAATGCTTTCGCGGGCATCATTCCACTCAGTCCTCACGCCAGTCCTGATGTGAGCATGTATTGTTTGTATTGTTCCCATTTCGTAGCGGAAGAAACCAAGGCAAAGAAGGAGTCAGTGACTTGGCCAGAAGCAGAGCCAGTAAGTGATGGATCCAGGACGTGAACTCATGACTCCTGACCACAGATACTCTGCTGTCTTACTCTTGTGCACTGAGCTAGGTCTCATCTTTGCCTTCAGGAGCTTGGAGTGGAGTGGTGAGGACAGCACTCATAGAAATGAAATGAGGAGTAATGGTGTAGGCAACAATAAGTGTAGACAGGAAGAGCAACAAGAGTTGAGAGGTTGGGGGTTGTCAGATAAGACTGCAAGGAGAAAGTGGAATCTCAGGTAAGCTTTGAAGGATGGGGAGGATTTTTTAGAAACGGACCAAGCAGGCATCCCAGCGAGGTGGTCTCCCGGGGGCTGCTCTTGGTGCTAGGGATACAATCTTGTCCTGAATTTTACTGGGGACACAGTGGAGAAGGGGAGTACAGGCCAGAAATCACCAATATGAGAAAGATGAATTAGAGCAAGGTGGTAGAGAAGGACTGGGCTTCTGCCTTCGCTGATGCCCTTAGGGGGGACATTTGAGTTGAGACCTCCATGATGGCATGAGGCAGCCCTGCAGAACTCGGAAGATGAAAACATGAGGGCAGGGGTGGCGCACAGCAAGTGTAAAGGCCATGAGATGGGAACAGGTTGATGGGTTCAGGGAACAGAAAAGAACAGGGAGGCTGAAGCTGCGTGAATAAGGGGAGAGCGGAGGGAGATAAGGCCAGAGATGGAGACAGGCCTTATCACATAGGACCTTGTGAGCCATGGCGAGTCATGGTAATGTGATAGTATGACTATGATACTATAATATGGTGTGATATTCCAGTAGACGCTTTAAAAAGATCCCTCTGGCCAGCTGTGTGGCTAATGGTCCATAGTGTGATGACAGTGGAGGCAGGAAGACTTCTTAGGAGGCGATTGCAGTCCTCTAGGCAAGAGTGATGGTGGTTTGGACTAGCGATGAGCAGTCAGTGTAGGTGGTGAGAAGTACTTTAGAGGTATAGCTTCCAGGACTTCCTGATGGATCAAACATGGGTGTGAGGAAAAGAATTAAACAAACATGACTTGGATGGTGGTTCCATTTACTATGATGAGGAAGGCTTGATGCAAGCAGTTGGTGCTAGCTGGCAATCGGTAGGGTTTTTTGGCCCTATGCAGGACAGGTTCCCAGTAAGTGTTGATCGACTGAACAAGGCTGAGCTAAAAGTAAACTAGCTAATATCACAGTACAGCAGGAAAACCTATATGAATGAGTGATGTGGCTGACCCTTTCTGATGAGACCAGTTTGTTAATTTCAGTCTCTTCTCTAGTCTCTCCTCCCTCCCCGCCACCCCGAGCATTTATAACCTTCTGACATGCTGCAAGAACAGCGGTGGTTCAGTGGTAGAATACTTCCCTTCCATGCAGGAGACCCAGATTCAGCTCCCAGCCAGTGCACCTCCAGTGGAGCAATCACCCATCTGTCAGTGGAAGCTTGCGTGTTGTTATGATGCTGAACAGGTTTCAGTGGAGCTTCCAGATTAAGATAGACTAGGAAGAAAGGCCTGGTAATATACTTGCAGAAATCTGCCAGTGAGCACCCTATGGATCACAACAATCTGATCTGCAGCCAGTCATGGGGATGGCAGAGGACTGGACAGCCCTTTGTTCTGGTGTGCGTGGGGTCGCCGTGCGTCAGGGGCTGACTCGACGGCAGCTAATGACAATAGCAACATATTACAGAATTTACTTATTATTTTTATTATTTGTTGTCTGGCTCTACCCCTCTAGACTGCAGGTTCCAAGAAGGCAAAGGTTTTTGTCTGTTTTGTTCGCTGGTGTATCCCCAGTGCCTAAAACATTGCCTGGCGATACACGTTTATGGAATTGCTGAGTTTAACTGCTTCGGATGTATGGTACCAGAGATACCTGGGCTACCAAAGCTGCTGCTCATGGAGCTTCCTGCTGTGGCATGTTAGAGAAGAGGCCAGAAAAGCAGACATTTCCTGTGCTGTCAGGTAATGAAGGATCCAGAGCTCCCTGTACAGTTGGATAATAGGTTGTCTGCCTGGGCACAGTAAATTACCACTTACCTCCACTGTCCCACAGAGCTGGAATATGGAAAGATGGAAGAGGTATCAGATAGCCTGGGTCCACCTCACAGCCCTTCCTACCCATGCCTTTGCCTCTGAGATGGGGTTTGTCAAGACCGCCTCTAAGAGCACCTGGTATTTTCTTTGAGGTGTTGTCCTAAGAGGCAAGTCGTGTGTCCTCACAGACCACAGACCACAGACCACAGGGCACCGGAAGCTTACAAGCCCTCAGAGATCATGTAGTGTAGCCCGATCATTTGGGGAGCATCTTCAAACTTGTCTGCCTTCCTCTGTCCCAAAGGCTATGATATACTTCCAGTTGAGAAACATTACCGTGATGATTATAGGTAATTCCAAGTGTGTCATGTTCCTCAGGTGTGCTGGGGCAGAAAATGGTTGAGAACTGGTCTACTCCAGTTGCTTCCATAAAACCAATTGCCATTGAGCTGATTCCAACTCGTGGCAACCCCATGTGTGTCAGGGTAAAACTGTGCTCCACAGTGTTTTCAGTGGCTGATTTTTTGGAAGTAGATCACCAGGCTTTTCTTTCCAGGCACCTCTGGGTAGACTTAGCAGCTGAACTTGTTAACCATTTGCATCATCGAGGACGCCAAAAATCAGTTGCCTTCAAGTTGATTCCAGCTCATGGCAACATAGAGGAGAAAAATAACAGCTTCCCTTTTTTGAATGCTGTGTGCCAGGCACTGTGCTCAGTACATTATATACATTGTATTTAATCCTCGTCCTCTGAGGTAGGTATTGTTATTCCGATTTTATAAATAGGAAAACAGGGATCAGTAAAAGTTAAGTTAGTTCGCAACAGAGAGTCCCTGATGAAGCAGGAGAAAGGTGGGGTACAGAACTCAAATTCTAGTAAAAAGACCAGAC